ACGACGCCGTGACTATCGAGACTCCTGGGGAAACCTCTGCTACTACTGCCGACAGGAGGCCACCGAGCCTTACTCCCGGGTCTGGCCAAGAGCTCTGAGGACTCGTTTCTTCTTTTGTTGTTCTTTTTTTTTTAGAGAGCTTGTAATGAAGTTTCTTCTGAATGAAAATCAACTTTATTTCCATTCTGGATTTTGCCTTCATGTGCTCTTTGCTTCTGTTTTAGCTTGAATAATCTATAGCATTGTTCTTATTAAGAGAGCTAAATATTAGCTGGGGCGAGTCAATCTTAATGTGTCGATCCATATATTAGGGGGTCGAGATGACTGATCCACCTAACGCCTTATATTGGCTGAGAGACTTGATAAAACTTAGCTATTGGGCGTTCAAATTTGTGTGTCCAGGAGTGATCATCCAAGCATTCAAAAATTGCACTTTAGGCTTATGTAGAATGACATGAAGATCTTTTGGCAGAATGACAACTAACATGAAGATCTTTTGGCAGAATGACAACCCTGAGGTTGGGTGCCTAGGTCTTGCGTAGGAGCCTAGGTTTTCGATATCATCATATGTTCGAGAGGCGACTGTAGGAGTCGACCATAGGGTTGGTGACTTGGGTTTATTCCTGAAAAGGTACCAAGGGATTAGAATTCGACTGAGGAGTTGAATGCATATAACTTTTGGAAGTTGACTAGGTCTTTGGCAGCCTTGAGGATGGATGACAACCCTAAGGTTGTGTGCCTTGGTCTTACGTAGGTACCTAGATCTTCGATATCCCCATATGGTCGAGAGGTGACTGTAGGAGTCGACCATAGGGTTGGTGCCTTGGGTTTATTCTTGAAAATATACCAAGGGCTTAGAATTCGACTAAGGAGTTAAATGCCTAGAATTTTTGGAAGTTGACTAGGTCTTTAGCAGTCTTGAGGCTGGACGACAACCCTGAGATTAGGTGTCTGTAGACGTCTAAAAATGCTTATAGATATCCAAATACAGCTCAAGACAAAGAGAAGACAATAAATGTCATTATCTAGGTTAGAATAGGTCATCCAAAGCCATAAGAAGCAAAAGAACATGTGGAACAACAATATGAACACTCGCAACAAAGTACACGGACTTATGCGAGCGTGGCAGTCATCGCTGACGCGCATAGACGTGGCAGTGAATACTGACGCGCATATGCGCGACAGTCGAGTGTAGCGTGCATATGCGCGGTAGTTGAGGGTGGCGTGAGTATTCACGTGGTATCTTTGTGTGATTTGCTGACGGTTTTGGCATCGTAGTGGGGTCTACGTGGGTCTATAACTGAGAAAGAACATGTAGTGATGTGGAGGAGTAGTTATACCCAGAAAATACGCCCACTACTTGCAGAAAACGTGTACTAATACAACTATAAGCAGTTACGAACATGGGTGGAGCGGCCCCGTCAGCCGTGACAGTACACTCTGACGCGCTAAAGGCCGCACCAGCAGTGACTAACGCGCCCAAAGAGGATGCAGCGGGTTGGTTATTTTGCTTCCGTTTCAACAGTTAGGGGCCCCTATCTCTATAAATACTTTCTTATACACGAATTCAAGGACAGAGAGGATGCAGCGGGAGAGGCTCATCCACTCAACACTTGATCTATTTCAATTTCATCTTAGAGTAATTTCCAGCAACGACCCTTGATGGTCTGGTCATTCGTAGGCACCCTTCGTGGGGACGCCTTCGATTAGTATCGACCTCTCAAGTCAGTGAGCATCAACTGTTGGGATGATATGGAAAGCTCATTCCTCAATAATTTCTTTGATGATGACACTGAAATGTTAATTGGAGCTCTTCTATATGAGAAGCAAGAAGACGGAGAATCAGTGGACACATTCATCAAACGCTTCCAAGGCAAGGCGATGAACTACCAAGATCCGATCACAGAGGAGTTCATATTCCAGACCTACCATAAAAATCTCTCCCTCGATGTCCTCATGGTTGTGGGGGTTGTCCCCTCAATCACGTGGAAGGAATTAAAACTATATGGAGAACAAGTTGAGTGCTTCCTTAAAAGAAAGAAGCTCAAGGGAGAACAATCGACAGTTAAGACACCTGAAACTGCTGTCGATGTAAATCAAATGTTACAACGGCAACCTCGGAAGCAACAAAGGACTCCTAATCCGAGATTCTAGAAAGAATACTCTTTCAAAGATGATGAAGTTCCAATAATTTTAAAATACCTCCTCGCTAACGACAAAATCACGCTGCCACCGGTTATAAATTAGGAGGAAGCTAATAATACTTTGGATCCAAAGTATTGTGCATATTATAGGAGGATCCACCATCCCACCAAGACTTGCTTCACTCTCAAAGACAGAATCCAAGCCCTGGTTGACGCCGGCATCATAATGGAAAAACAAGCAAAATGAGGATGGCACCATTCCTCCGACAGGATATACGAGGTTAAACTACTTCCCCCACCTCCAATGGGTATAAGAGGATAAACTGTTTCCCTTATTTTCAACGGGATGTTCCTAAAGAATGTTATTCATAATATTCTTAAGGATAACCCGAGACCAGCTGACCATTCAAGGTGAAAACCGGTCATCAGAATAATTTATTCTTAATCATGATAAAAAATGATTAAAAACCTCCCACTGTTGCTATTTAATCATTTCCAAGATAATTAAAAAACCCCCTACTGTGACTTTCAGAGCATTCTTTCGTTAAGATGAGATTCAATGACTTAATCTAGTCAATCTTTACTCACGAAACCCCCACAGTTAAATTGTGGAGTGCTTAATGACTCAAGATCCTCCACCATAAAATCGCTTACCAATCAAACCAAATGACGGTGGGTCCACCAAAATTCTTCGTGTTTGAATCCACCCGAACTCCCATAGTGTCCAAGCCTTTAACATTCTCACTGTTAGGGTCTAGCACGACACCTCCCTCTTCATGTTAAGTCCTTGTCACTTGACACCGAAAACCCCCACTGAGTAATTTGTACAAGTCAACATTCCCACTGTTATTTGTATCTTCACTCCTGCTGTTTCTTGGTCAAACCTTCCTATAGTTAGGACCAAAACCAAAGTCCCCTCTCGATTCCTTCAATGAACAAGAGGTCCACTTTCAAAACTGGAATTCCCTTTTGATAAACGAAAGGCCTCCACCCAATTTGAACGATTAAACCTATAAAAGTTAGGGTTATCTCAAGCTCCCACTTGGTCAAACCTTTTACAGTTAGGACCAAAATTAGATTTTCATCTCGATAAATGAGAAATTCATACTCAGATTGGGTGACCAATCCTATAAAAGTTAGGGTTATCTAGATCTTTTTGATTCTTGGAGTGGAGATCTCACTTTTAGTTTCACCTTCTAAGATTCTCAAAGTGGAGATCCCACTTTCAGTTTCTTTTGCATCTGGAGATAGAATATAAAAAAATTTTGTAATAAAACCGATTTTCAATGCGAACACGCTGGCGACCATAGTGGGAGCTAAGAACCTCGCTGTCGAGGCTGTCGTGTCGTAGTCATTGATCAAGATCCGTGTGCATGAAGAGGTCGAATACGAGTTCGACCAGCAGAAGTTTGAGGAGTACATCTCCTCCTTCTCCTTCAGATATTCCTCTTCTTGCAAGCGTAGGAAGGCCACTTCCCTCAAGAAGGTTCATTGGTCTTCAGATCTGATGACTCAGGTGTTCGTGTCGAAAGTTGGTTTATTTGTAGAATCCATTACAATTGTTTATCGATTAGAATGAATTCAAAAGAGTTAATCTTTTTATAAGACTACTCACTTACACAAATAAAATAAGAAAATACAACTATCTTCAAACACACGCAGAGGACGTTTATCACCCGCTGCTTGCGTGGGATCTTTGCCTGTACCGGGGACGCGTTAGCTCGTGGACCATCACAGATCAGATCCGATTGACAGAATTAAAATTCAATGCTCTTGCTTCATAAAGGAAGTATTCGTAAAAGTAAATAATCTCGACCAAGCGAGATTACTACTCTTCTCGAAATCAAAATCAAGTTTGATCTGGAGGAAAGGTGGAACGGACTTCAGATCTCTTGAAATCCACTCTTTACGCATAGGAATTCGCCAAGATCTCGCTAGCCTCTCTCAAATTCGTCAGAACCTCGCCCTAGCTCCTCTAAAATCTGTGGCTCCCTTCAGATCTGTCCTTATGAGGGTGTTAGGGGTGTATTTATAGATTTTAAATATCGTGTTTGTAGATAGGATCGAAGAACAACCGTTATTATCCGTTTATGTGGGTTTTCGGTTGTGTAACAGCTTCCACATGTTTAGGATAACCACACATGTTTATGAATGACCCTAAGGAGTTCTATATGTCAATCTTATTAGAAAACACGTTGGGAGCTGACCTGGGCGTGAGTCACTCCGAAGTGACTCGGAATTTTCGAGTCACTTTGAGGTGACTCGGATTTTCCGAGATAGTTTATATTGTCTTCGGTATTTTTGGCTTTAATTTTCTCGTCCAATCTCGGAATGAAATGATTAAAAATGCGTTGGCAAGTTAACAAAGAGAGCTACAACTTTTTCCTTTTGATATTTTTTGGATTCAAATCTCATCATGGTCAAAATTTTACTTCTTTGTGCAGGTCACTCTAGAGTCCTCCTGATTGTATTTGCTTCGTTGTTTCACACGTTTTGACGTTTTACGTGCGTTCCTTCGCTTATTTTTACAGTATTGAATGATCCTCTTTGACTTGGATAATCATCTCTGACTCGGATAATAGCATTCATCATCTTCTCTCTGTTTTGAACTAAGTGCGAGAACCTATAGGTAATTTTTGACGCCTACAGATACCTAGTGTTTCTTGGCACGGAGATCAGTTATGTTGTAGATGATATCCAGGGAGAGTACATTATGAAAAATTGACACTATTACCACAATTTACCTCCACATGGAATTGGTATATCTACTTTTGAGTTAAACTTGCAGTAGTCTTGTTTGCGAGAGCCTCTAAAAACACCCTACAGGTTGTCTTGCAACGAAAAGGCACCGTGCAGTATTGAAGAAAATTTTTATTGCAAAGTAGTACTTAACAAATATATCATGTCTTTGTAACTTATTTAGAATCAAGACATTGCATCGTACATAGTTCTATTCCCTATGCTGTTTTTCGAGCCCGGATCATATTAGCAAATTCCACAAACTTTGAAGCATCCGGCAGCACTCCCTTCACTGCATCCTGGGCCCAGAACTGCTCCGCCCATGCTGCTAGCTTCGGAGTCTTTGTGGCATCAAGAAGCTCGACGCTGCTCAACTCTGGAGCTGCTTTGATCCAACCCAGGTTGCAGCCGAGAGCGATGTCGAGGTAGCCAATGGCGTCTCCTCCGAAGAATTGCTTCCCTTTGCTGCATTTTGTGAATGCTTCCTCTAAATTGCGCAGGCCTGTGATGGTTTTCTCTGTTGCTTCAGTCTTGGTTTCTTCAGTGTTTGCTCTCAGCATCGTGAAAAAGGAAACAATCCACTGGGTAATAAACTGAGAATTATTCCATGGAAGTTTTTACTTATGGGATAAAGTGGTTATGCAGAAAATGGAAGTTTTTACTTATGGGATAAAGTGGTTATGCAGAAATATTAGTTTACTTCAGAGTTTATGAAGAAACTATCTAGTTCTTTTTGTGCACTTGATCAGTAACGCAGAAAAGACTGTCTATCCTTGAATTAGATTAATGTGAGAAGAGCTTAGAGATTTGTGCAAAGGTAGGGAACTACAAGGTATTTAAGTTCTAATTACCCCTTATTTTATACTGATTCAAGTATAAACAGTTATTGACGTATAAACTAACCAGCGGACAGAGCCTACCAAATGATTTATTAATTTTCTTACATAAAAAGAAATATTATGAATAAACATTACCTTGATATATTGTTACCTGAAATCAACTCAAACTTTAATAGGATTTCTATTTATGAACTAAATGAAATTTGTTTTCAATGAACATGACAAAACTCGGAAATCTTTTCTTTACCTCATCGACGTAGACCGCCCAAAATCGAGCAAGGGCTCGATCATGGGGATCATAGGGAAGAATGGATGGTCCTCTCCTGTCCCAAGCTTCATCAATATACTGAACAATGATCAAAGACTCGCATATAGGCTTTCCACCATGAATGAGCACTGGGATCTTCTTGTATACAGGGTTTGACTCTAAAAGCAGCTCACTCTTCACTAGCTCTGCTTTGCTCCCTATTTCTTCTTCAAGGAACTCATAGGAAACCCCTTTGAGATTAAGAGCAATCCGTGCTCTTACCACAAAAATGCTTGCCCAGTGTCCTAATAGTTTCACATCCTCTCCTACAATTTTTGATGTTGCCATTCTTTTTGCAGGTATGAAAAGATGTTAGTTACATTTGTATATATAGCAACTTGGAGTTGATTTCTTGCTGACATAAAGGATTGGGATTCAAATCCTTGAGCAGCAAGTAACATAGAAAATGATCAGCTCTTTTTTTATCCGTGGACTTTGCATGCCAATATTGAATTTCTTTTGTTATGTTGTCGCCACTGCTTTTGTCATCTTATAGACTCTTCAGTCCAGTTAGTACGTTCTCTTTATTTGTAATACAATGGAAACCTTGGCAATGTATGAGAATCCCTCGGGTCAAAAATCCGGAGTTTGATCCCCGTAAAACTAAGGTGTGTGGGTCCCATCTCACATCCCTATGTTCTGTTGGGGATTTGAAATAATCAAATCGAATCTATGCCCTTCCGGACCTTGGTTTTTAGAGTAGGAAAGTAGGAAAATCACCGTAAATAATAGATAAAACTTACAGGAAAGTAAACAAGAAAGAACACACCATATTTAACGAGGTTCAGCAATGTGCCTACGTCCTCCGGAGCCACACCACACAATTCTTTGATTAATTGAAGAAGATTACAATGCCCACAAATAGGTTTTTATCTCTCTGAGATCTCTCTAAAATAATCCTCTCAAAACCCTCTTTTTCACGTGTTCTAATAACCCTAAAACGTTTAGGCATATATAGGATCCCAGATCAAAATAGAATCCTGAATAAATTTGGAAACAGGAAAACCCGACTTCGGTCAACCCGGTCACGTCCTGCGGTCGACCGGCCAGAGCACCAACTTCCTACAGGATTTTGGTGCACGTTCGCGATCGACCGGAACAGCTCTCGCGGTCGACCAGACGGAGTGAGGATTTCTTCTAAGTTTCCTGCAGGCGTCGCGGTCGACCGGATCCACCTCGTCGGTCGACCGACCCACGTCAATTCTGTTTTCTTCATTTTTTAATTCAGCTTTGGGTCTACACACTTAGACTAACAATCTCCCATTTGGAGACAAAAACGCCATCAACAAGTTCTCCCGGAACTTCTGACTTCTTCGCAAGCATCTTCTCCTACATGGAAAAGAAAAACCCATTCTTCAATCATTATCAATCCGACGATCCCGCCGATCCTCCTGGTGTGGCTCCGTCTTCATCTCCAACGCGTGAAGGACAATTGAAGTTGCGTACAACTCTAGTTTCTTGATGGTCACTGCTTTTGTCAACATATCCGCAGGATTTTGACTCCCCAAAATCTTCTCTACCTATAAATTCCCGTCCTCAATCAGCGAGCGTATGAAATGGTATCGTACGTTGATGTGCTTCGTTCTGACATGATATATTGGATTCTTGGCAAGGTGTTGTAAACGGTAAAAAATACCTCTATGGGTCTACAGGAAATTTGCCTACGAGAAGAGTTCACACGCCCA